TATGGGGGGCCATGGGGTAGCTTGGGTACAGCTGAGCAAGGTAGTTAGCATTTTTTTAGCCGAATTATTTTTGTTTATTTACTATATAATTACTATTATAGAAACCGTAGTAGAAGCGTAAAAACCGCTCAAGTGCATGTGACTAAGTAAGTGTTGTGCCACATCATATAGGTTCCTGACAATCTATGTCAGTTATATGTCACGAATATACATATATACTCATAGAATGATGAACATATCACACCTTGTACTTTGAGTTTGAGGGCGCTGACATATTTGTCGTCCTCTTGTTTTGAGGAAAGTGCACGTGACTAAAGATGGCAGCGCCCATGAAAATTTGAAATTGTATGCTAGTCACTACTACTAGTACTATAGTAGTAGTACTAGTACTAGTACTACCCTTTATTAGATACATACTATACTCCTGTTAATTGTTCTAGCAGTTGCGAGTAAAAATAAGTAGGACTGGAAAATGTCCGGACAGTGCAAGGGGACAGTTGACTATATCCTTAGCCTACAGACTACAGTGGGTGCACCGTGCAGTATAGCCTAAATCCGGTGGGCGTCTAGACAACAACCAGTGCTCACTCAAACCCCCCATAACTTAGGGTTTGGCAGGGCATTAGTCTCATAGGGTCTATGTCTCCCAGGGTACTATCGGAGGGTACCCTGGGTATGGTTCGATATATCGGAACGTACGTATACCGTACCCTAGTAGTACTACTAGTACTAGTACTACTAGTACTAGTAGTAGTACCTAGTGTTGTCAATCGGTTGTGATTTCGTAATCGATCATCGGTTGGACCCAAGTAACCGATGATCGGTTACAATTGGTTACTCGGGGTGTTGAATGCCTGCGTGTGCGTAATGTCGTGTGCATGTACGTGTGTGCATGTATGTGCTTCTTTAGCCCTGTTTACTGTTTGTTTTACACTGTTTACTACTGTGTGTATAATACATGTACTGATTCTCATCACTTTTCCAAGTTTTCTTGTTCAAATTATTTTTTTTGATGAAATCGATTATGGATTTTGATAACCAAGCGCTTGGTTCGAGCCACTGTTTAACCGATGATCTAGTATAATCGATGATCGTGACATCACTACTAGTGACTATCTGATATGGTTAGGGTTAGGGTTAAGGAGTAGGTGACTCCCTAGACTCGTTAGTGGAGTAGGCGAGGTACGGTCCGGCATATTAGATATAGTACCAGGGTACGTTCCGATATATCGAACCATACCCAGGGTATCCTCCGATAGTACCCTGGGGGACATAGACCCTCTCAGCATTAATTAGCCCATTTGCCCTGCCCACTTTCGCAGTGTGTTGAGGGGTTGATGTTAGTTGATGTTACCCGCATGATTGTTAGGGGTCCACAAGTGCACTGAATGTCGTTTTAGGCAGAGTGGATTGTAGGATATACTATAGAGCCTATAATGCTTAGCTTGTAGTCTGACTTTAAATGTTTATGGTGGGTTTAGAATTGGATTAGAAAATTAATAGGGTTTCATGGATAGGGTGGTGATGACAATGATGACAATAACGGCGATGATGATGCTGATGATGATGTACCGGGGTCTCAAATTAGCCAGCCTATAGTTGTAGTCGCTGAACTGTAAGTGTGACCAAATGAGAGTGCAGTATACCTACGAGTGTGACTATATTGGACGTCTTTTGTTTTTTTGTCTGTAGTACGTACTAGCAGGAGTAAGATAATATAGGATCCTATATTATCTTACTCCTGGTATTAGTAGTATTAGTACTATTTAAACTACTATACCTAGTACTTCTGCAACCAATGTGGAAAACTTCAACCGGTGATTTAAAGGGTATAGAATGGGAGATGGTAACATCGTAAACAACTTGCATTTTTTTGCAGCCCTAGAATAATTATGAGAATATAATTAACATTGTATGACAAAACAATGTGTATAATTGACAGAATGTATAATCCTCAAATCTTGTAGCAGTGGTCGAATTTGACATGTTTCTAAAGTGATATTTCCTGTTTTACTGTCAGTTTCCCAGATCAGTTTGGCATCAGCAGGAGACTATGTGATTCACTGTTAATTCTGCTATATGTTACATCAAATAAAAAAAATCAAATGGGATACTGCTCTCAGTGTTTCAAACGTAATTTTCTGTAATATATTTATTTTGTGTATAAGATGATAATTTATGTCATTCAGATGGTTTTCGCTGTTGTCATGACTCTATTATTTCATGAATTTTGTGTATAATACAGAAATACACATCATGGCCATTTTCATCATGGGTTCTCTAAGAACCTCTTCTGTTTGCTAAGAACTGCCTCATGCTAATTCTTTTACTGTTGCAGAATGTGCCTAAAAGAGTAAGATATTTTACCATCCCATGTCGAGATGGGTGCTCTACGGTATAGATCCTTTTGCGTCGGTGCTATTTTGACTTCTGTGATGTGGATGGTGATACTGTACCTGTACACAGACATCGCCAATGACTTGAAAAGGAATCTCAACTTCCTGCCAAATGAGGGCTTTATTACAATCCGGCCAAAATTGTTGCCAAGATATGACAGGGATTTCAAGCATTTTCACAAAGATGACTCCGAGAATGAATTGTTACCTGCAGGGATTGACAAGCACCTCGGGGTAGCTGGCCGAGTAGCCGACCTTTCTGGCAGCCGCGTCGCTGAAAAGGAAACTGGCAACGTGGATCAAGTTAAAACAGTTTACCGCAACAAAACGCTGGTGAATCAGGACACATACTCTGAGAGTGAGAGTGATATAGGATTGATCCGATCGCAGGAAGATCAGGAGAAAAGAGAAATGGGATTCAAGCTGTTTGCCTTCAACGATCTCGTTAGCCAAAGGATCGGTAACATCAGAGAGATACCGGACACACGGCAGACACTGTAAGTCATGCCGTCGTCAAAGCTAAATATGTGCATATATTGATTAGTAAGTGTGATGCGTAATTCTTATTTTTCTTCAATATTACATGCGATTTACATGTTCTAGTTAGTTATTGCTTGTTTTGAAGCGTTTGGTTTGTTATAACACCAAGGCATTGTTTTAAGGCACATGCAGGTGTTAGGTAGCGACTAGTTTAATGTGACTGCTATGTCAACTGTGTAAATCGGGAAGAAAGATGGAAAGGAATATTGCAAATTGAAGCCCGAGAAACAGTTTGGGTTGCAGCTATAATTCTTAGATGTGGGAAATGCAGTAGGAATGAAACCATGGTAACAGTAATAACAACACTTTTTGAAAACTACTTGGGAGCAAGGTCTCTTACAAGTACACAGTGCAATTCATTTGTATTGACACTAACAGGTGGGTAAAACCACGACACGTCTTCCAACTTAAACACGCGAATGTTCACCAAGTATTATCTTTTATTGATGAGTACAGCTGCAGGCAGAAGACATACACGAAGGCTCTTCCGGCAGCTAGTGTGATCGTCTGCTTCTACAACGAGGCGATGTCTACGCTGCTGCGGACAGTACACACGGTGCTGCGGCGCACTCCGGCACACCTGCTACGCGAGGTGATCCTTGTTGATGACAACAGCGATCTGGGTGCGTCTGCTGCGATCAACCGATCTGCATTCGCGTCAGAGAAAGACGTGCAATCCAGTGTAGACGTGATGTGACACAAGAAGCAAAAAATGTGTTTGGAGCTGCTAGGATAAGCATGATGCAGATCAATTATTATTATTATTAAGCTCTCAACAATCAAGTATATAATTGCTAGCAGGCTCTCACATGCAGAGCCTACTTGTAAAGCGTCTGAAAAAAAACCCAGTAACATTGGGATTTATGAACGTAAACAGGACTGAAGCGTTTGTTTCTCTGTCATGGTGACTATGTGGTTGCTACAGTAAAGCTATATTGTGTGTGGTATCGAAGTAAAACTACTGATTTAAATGAACTGCGATACTGCTATATATAGTAGTGAGTCCTTTTTTTTTTCTTGTAGAACATCTGAAAGCAGATCTGGAGCAACATATATCACGTCTCCCTAAAGTGAAGTTAATGAGGACAGGAAAGCGAGAGGGACTGATTAGGGCCAGGATATTTGGTGCAGATCATGCATTGGGAGAGGTGTGCTGGCCTTTTTTATGCCTCTTCTGCGAAAGCACAGTTGTGTAAAAGTGAAGCATATTTTATTATGCTTTATTGCATTCATCTTCCAGGTTTTTTTATTGTTTTTTTAAAAGAACACACCAAGCTGCAGTGATCCCACATAATCATCATCATTGCTATTGTGAGACCTATACTAGATGTTATCTAGGTGTACCAGCCTCAGCAACATTTCTCAGATTGTAGTATTTTTTATATTATCTATTAGTATTATCATTCTACTATGATATTTTAGACCAGTAAAAAACCAGTATGAGATTGTGACCAGTACCTCAAGGCTTTTTTTTATCTCCTAACCTTCCTTGCACATTCATTACATTTAACAGGTGTGGCCGTAGATTTACAACCCTGGTCGTTAAATTGAGGGATGTAATTTCTCAAAAGCTCGCATCACATATTTATAATTTTCAATGTACGATTCAAACATTTTTGTATTGTGTAACATTAGGAATAATGATAATGTTAGAACTTCTAATAGAAGTTTCTCAATACGTGTGTAACATACATAGTGCACACCGATACTGTTATTTCAGGTGCTTGTATTTCTGGACAGTCATGTAGAGGTGAACAAGGACTGGCTCCAGCCACTGCTCGACCCAATCGCTGCCAACAGTTCTGTTGTCACTATACCCATAATAGACATAATAGATATGGATACGTTTAAGTATATGTCATCACCGCTGGTACGTGGCGGCTTCAACTGGGGCATGAACTTTGCATGGAATCAGATCCCACTGTCGTACTTCAAACGAGAGGAAGATAAGTCCAATCCAATTAGGTGTGTGAATTGATGTGTTTGTTGCTTTATTAAGTTTATGGTTAGTTGGTAATTACCATCTTAATTCACAGTGTACTTTTTACCATCTAAGATTTTTCGTTGTCTATTTGGGATATTGGTTTGTTCTAGTTTTGTATCATTGTATCATTACGTATCATTACACTGGTATTTGCATAATTTATCCCATTTGATATAACATTAATTTCAGATCCCCAACAATGGCAGGAGGGTTGTTTGCAATCAACAAACAGTACTTTTTTGACATGGGCAAGTATGATCCAGGCATGGACATCTGGGGAGGCGAAAATCTTGAACTGTCATTTAGGGTTAGTGTGTGCATGTATACTGATTCCTAAATAATTTAATTTAAACATTTACCAACATTAAAAATGCTCGAATAATTGTAATACGTTAGCAGTATTCAAAATAATGTTTCCAATGTGTGATTATGATGGTTTTTATTGTGTGTACTTAAATCTGATTTGTTTTTGGAGATCCATGAATTTGCTTAAATTGCCAAATGGTTTGTGAAGTATTCATGTTAAACGACATTTCTACTGTCGACATGTAAATGCTACCTTCATATGAATGAGTTTAGTGTTACCACCCCTACCCAGATCACACCAGGTAGCAATTAGCTTCGTATTTGGCACATACTACCTCCTCAGTGAATGCTAGTAAGCTCACGTAACACTATTGTTCTGCAGGTATGGCAGTGTGGAGGCTCCTTGTACATCATCCCTTGCTCTAGAGTGGGCCATGTCTTCCGCAAGCGCCGACCGTACGGATCACCAGATGGCCGCGACACAGCCGGCTTCAATGCTCTGCGTGTCGCACATGTCTGGATGGATGATTACAAGGTGTGTCACTGACTATATCCGAATAGTTTCACGCTATACTGTGACGTTGGTTCTATGTTTAACATTTTGGAGGGAACATATACGGGAAGGAAGCTCATCCTCGGGTAGTGAAAACCTTAGATAGTTTTTCCAACAACTAGTTTTCTGTAGTGCACTTTTAGCCACATTGTGGTTATTCCAGCTCTGTCATGGCTAGTGTTCAGTCTGAGTTCATGTGGCGTTTTTTTACATGCTAGTTGAGTGTTTTGTTCAAGGTTCTACCTAAAGTCTTTTACTTGAGATTTATTGTATGTATTTATATTATATTTATTGCAGGAGTACTACTTTAAAATTCGTCCAGACCAAAAGAATGCTAGTTATGGTGACATCTCTGAGCGCTTAGCATTGAGAAAGCAACTCGACTGTAAATCCTTCAAGTGGTATCTGGAAAACATATACCCTGAACTGTCACTGCCTAGCACTCAAGCCCGCAATGCTAACCACGTGAACTCTAGGCAGGAATATGCTTGGCGTAAGCCAATCAAGAAGATAGGACAGACACAGGTTGGTGTAATTCATTTTGAAAGTATATAGCCTAAGCTGCCTTATATAATTAAGTCACCATTTTCTGTGGTGTGTATTATAATATAATATAATATGAGTATATATATATATATATATATGGATATGATCTCAATACTAACATGAAGCATCCCTATAATGAACCTGTGCTAAAATATGACTTTGGCCTTGAGCACACATGGAATATATAAGGTATTATATCATGTTATATCATGAGTGATTAAAACAGTTTCTTTTTATTCACTCCTGGTAATACCAATTCCCGTGAAGAAACACCCTGTAACACACTTTATGGATAAGCTGGTGAAAAACAGACAGTAAGGAAATAATAAACAATATAATATGAACTTTCTATTGATGTTAATTCAATCGCCAGTACTGTGAATAATATTAAGTGGAACGTTCATATTTGCAATGCATTTTGCATTAGATCATGCACAAGGCAAGTGGGAAGTGCGTCCAGGCAAAGGAGGGCATGTACAAGAAGTCATCTTCCTTGGTGTTAGGTGCTTGTGACTCCAACGATCAGAAAAATGCAAGTGTACACAATCATGTTACAGTCATAACAATATACATTAACTGAATATGGCCTAAAATTCGAAAACTAGAAACTAGATGGGGTGCTGATTTGTGACAAAGTGAGTGTTCGCACGTTGTGCGCACATGTGTGAGAGAGAGCGAGTGAGAGAATGTGGGATTAGAGATGAGAGTGAGCGAGCAAAAGAAAAAAAACAACGAGTCTGCAAACAAATAGAACATACTAGCCCATGTAATTTGGTTGCAAATGTTTTACTGCACGTTTGTAGCTGTGGACAGTTACGGTTCAGCACGAGCTGTTGCTGGGAGGCCTGCTGTGTATGGACGCAGACAAATATCCACGTATAATGAAGTGCACCACTCTTGGCGGGACCCAACAATGGCAGCCAGCTGGCAAGGTATGTGCTCCTCATGCCACCTGGTGGCTGCCCATAATTAACCACAACCATTGCAAAATTCCAAGTGTCAATCTTGATATCAGTGTTGTTGTTTGCTCTACTCTAAGCAGATAGTAACAGATTTAAAGGTAGGTGTTCAGCGCGAGAAAGTCAATAGTTTTTGTTTACCAGTTTGTGCTCGAATTGAACATTTACGATGGCTATCGCGTTCGTTATCGACAGAAACGCCTTAGCACGCCGTGAATTTCTCCGTGATTTTCTTGTGATTATCACGACGAAATGCTATTTCCTTTTGCTTGTCACCACAGTTCGGAGATAGACTGTACAATCCAGCAACGGGTAAGTGCCTAGCAGCAGGAGGTTCCTCGTTGAAGAGTTCTGTCATCATGGGAATCTGCAGTGACGACAATCCCAGCCAGAAGTGGTTGCTCACTGTGAAGCTGCCACCGACATAGCTTCCTCTCTACAGACGTGTCCACTTCTGATCTCACAATAGTCACTCCATTTTCTATATATGTTGTCCGGCAACCTGACCAGTATTAGTCTAGTAGCTGTATAGACAGCAACGGCCCTTTTTTTTACAGATTGCATGCACTACGGGTAAAATGTTTGGATATTTTCCCCAAGGTGATAGTTGGAGGGTATTCACACTCACTAGTTCTACGAAATGCGAGTTTCGTTATTTCTCAACTGTAATAACTTAATTGCAGCCACTGTTGATTAGACTTGTTTCGTATACGACTATGTCGTTAAAATATTCAAAAACGTTATTTGGTATATTATATTCACTTTGTGTATTAAAAATAGGACCAAGTATGAAGTTTGGGAGCAGTTCGCATTGTTTTGAGGTACGGGGATGATTCCATGGGTAACCAGAGGAAGGGGATATATGGTTACCTATTGTAGGTAAACGTTGATATTATACTCTGTAACCTTTGCAACTGCCACTTTGTTAAACTGAATTGTTCCAATTTCCCAGACGCTTCTAGTAGCATGGTTATTAGTTTCATATGTCAGTTGCACAAGACAAAATTTTGAACTCTTGACTGCTAGACAATTCTTGGATTTCAGGAGAGCTCGGTAAGAATATGTATAGAGACTACCAATACTGCACATGCTGTAGCCACTTCTAATGCCAGTGCCAACTCTAGAAACAGCTGGTGCTGAGAACACGGACAATACCTAGCAAATAAGTTTGCACTTATTTACCAAAGCAGCTCGGCATAGATATAGTGTTTGATGATCTACCATGAACTGTATACCAGGTATAGGTCAACCTTATAGTAAGTAGATCATGACAACCTAGTTTGCCATGAGACGTTGTTCTTCTTACTGTCAATGTGATCTCTCCAGGTTGTCAAGGCCAAGCAGGTGTGGTAACGGTTGTTATGAGAATGTCGTCTTTTCTACCACAACGGTTAATATTGAGTTAGGAAATTCTCTAGTCAGCTCATGTTGCATAAGGATGTTATCTCTGATGTACTTACAGCTAGTAGGCCTCAAAAACATACTTTTTATAACCTGGGTCAGAAGGTTATAGCAACACATCTCAAGAACAAACGAGTTCAGTTTACTCCTAGCATGCTGCCAGCTAGGGGCAAAGTAAAATCATTCAATTTTTAGAATGCGTTCTGATTTTAACAAGCCCTATACACATGCTGTATACCGTATATGCTATACTGGTTATAACACTTAAATAATTGTATATAATAGTGGGTATTATAAGGTATAATATAGAATTACTAGATACATTCCTGGACTAGATGTGTTACTAATATTCTTACCATGTTATTGTCATGTCAAATGCACAGCATGTTCTTGGGAATTTGCAAGTTCCATGATTAGCTTCATTATGCTTTTCCTTTTACAATGTGCATGTTCTCATTTTTCAGGTGCTACTATTTAAGACTTTCAATGCATTCTTAAATCCTTGTGCATAATCTCACATCTGTTGTGTGCATTCAAAGAATATATGATATTTGTATGACACAAGTGTTTTGATTTTGTTTTTACATAACTAGAAAGTTCTATACTATTTTGTCAAACCTTGATATCAGAGTTGATTAAAAAGATTTAAGTGAATAATTGCGACCAAATAACTTAATATATTTATTAATTAATTCACATCGTTATAAAAACTGAAACAACTTGAGAATTGAGTACTCGATCCTTATAGGGCTGCTGCTGAAACAACTTGAGAATTGAGTACTCGATCCTTATAGGGTGGCTGCTATATGCTGCTGGGATGATATGTTGGTACTGCTGTCAGAGCTGAAACACTGTAAAACAATGGATATAAGGAGTAGTCATATGATACAATATAGATATTCAGAAATTTGAAATTCAGTATAAAATAAATTGGTTAAACTGCGAGCATGAAATACGAACCATTTAAAAGGAAATGAATGAAAAAAAACTTCACCCGTGTCCCATTAAAAGCTCTGTATAAAATAACTCGGGTGTAATAAATGTCCTGCAACACCACAGTGAAACGTGCCATGTATCTAAGGATCATCACGTGAAAATATAGATCAGTCCATATAAAAATATAATATAATATAATGATAATATAGTAGAAAGTTAATATAATATAATAGTAAATAATATAAGAAATATAATAGTCCATATAATTGAAAGGTCCATATGAATCAGTCCAGTGTTGCATCTGGAATATTACAGCAGATTGGTTGTATTTAAAACTAAACTACTTTTTAGAATATATTTCATATACTACAGTGCAGAGTGCAATGAATCTATATAATAAAGAGTATTTTATAGATATATACTATATAAAGAGATTTTCAGATGCATTCCATAAATATCTAGAAATTCCAAAACTCTGTGCTGAATTGAAAATGTTTAAGTCAGTGTCTGCAGGTCTGTCTGATCATTTCAAAAACACCTGAAATCTGACACTTCTAATTTAGGGCTCAAAAATCACACCAAGGATGGTTTTTCTCAGGGGATACAAATTCCTAATACGTGTGGATGAGGCAGTTCAGACGTGACTAGATCTATTGCATGGAGTCAAAGACACAAGTTCTATTGGTTAATAATAAAAACTTGCCCCTCAATGCTTGAACGACCGTTGTTGACCTGGTAATGTCTTTTTAGAATATTTATTAAATTTTCATATACGAACTGCTTAGTAGGCCTATAGGGGAAACCGTTTAGATAGAGCAAATGCTGTTTGCAAGAAAAAGCACAAATGCCAGTATTCTGCAAGTTCCATGACTTCTAAAAACAAAACCTGCTGCATCTGAAATTTGATACACCGTGAATGATTATAGTAAATACCTGCTGGTCTGACTGGATATAAGTAGGCCATCGGGCGTTTATCAACGTTGGCCGAAAATAGGAAGCCTGTACAACCACTGACTCCGCCCCACTCAGTAGAAAATAGCACCTGCAATAAATGAGAACATGTCACAACATCTCCTCCCACTCACAAACTACATTCCACAAAGTCACAAAGTCAAACATTACAATGTTACCTTCACTCAGCACTGGCTGCAAAATTCCTGTGCAGTTGCTACAAAACTGCTTTAAGACAGAGTGAACGGTCCACATTATCCAGCAGCAAGCATGATCCTACCACAAATTACTGTTTGAGCGAACTAGTATGGCTTAGCTTTTGTACGTCGTAGACTACATAGAAACACTGTTGGCCTAACTGTGACCAGTAGTTAGGTGATTTGCAAACGATACTAGATAAATGTTTAAGGTAGCTTTTAAGCCTGTTTATTGAGTTGTGCATTATAAATCGTAGGTAGGCTACTCTCACTTTGTACGAGTTGGCGTCCATGTTAAATGTGTCACCATAAAAACGCTAGTAGCGGCCACTGGCGTAAATTTAAGCAATAGCCCCAGTCACTCGCGCAGTAAGCATGTACTGGGTTACAGCATAGATAAAGCCAGTGAATGCCAACTTTTCCAATTTCCAGTGTGTCTTACTCCTCTCCTATTATTATTTACTCCAGCTATAATGTACCTTGGGAACGTGGGCAGCATCCTGGACTGGGCAGGGAGCAGGTAGAGTGCAGAGAAGCTGCGCCGTAGTGAGACTCCATGCTCTGGTGAAGCCATCTGTTCCAACTGCAACACATTGTAAATAACACCATTCTACACTGTGCCCAATGTAATAGCTCTAAACTCGTACCGACGTGATAATTTATGCTTGGTTTGAGCTTGATACCTCTACGTTATACATTTAAGCAGTTGATGATATCGAGTCAATGGGTGGGGCGTAGCATTCATATAAATTATCGTGAGATTTCATCCAGTCTTTGACTAATTCTAAATTTTGGTCAACCTACATCACTATTGGTGGGTAAAGCTTAAAATATAAGAGCTAGATGGCACTGTATGGGCATAAACCTGCATAGACGATGTTGGCGGTGTCATCAACATGAAATGGCAGCCCATGGTAATCGTTCTCATGACCATGAAACTCTTGCATCACTTTCCGCATGCGAACATCCCAGCGTAGAATCTGAAATAGGACAAACCAGCCACTATTAAAGCCTGCTCATTTACCATACCACGCATCTATTTAGTGGTCCAGTTGGGGGATATTACACATAAAAGAGATTAAGACATAACATAACATGGGCTATACTATTAACATATACATACTATAGTACATATATATGTTCATGGCCAAACTGTACACTGGAGGCTACAACTGTGCGACAAAATACCACTACACAAATGGCCATAATACACTGCAGAAATCAAACATTCACACAAAAACTGTTGGACTTGATTAATGTAAAATTTCAACATCGAACGTATTAATGGCAGTTCCGTACTCCTCCATCATAGTCTCCTGTCAGTATATAGTTGGGATCTGGTTGCATTCTCATGCAGCATACGCCCACATTTGCTCCCTGGTACCTGTCCATAAAAACATTTGCCCTTTATACTGTGTCATCATTCATGTATTGTTGCCTTACATTACATCCAGGTACATCCTTTACCATTACAATGAAAAAATATGCTGACAACGTAAAACAGACGGAAACTGTAATCTTATAGTCCTGAGTAACTGAAACTAAATCACTCTTCTAGTTCTACATTGTGTGACAGGCAGCTCTACACGATGCATCTTAATTGCTGGCTTATAAAATACTTGTTTGAAATATATCATTACTTATTTTACATGTGGTAGTCAGTTTTCCTCAAACACATTTACATATCTTTAACATTATAAAATAGAGAATCGGTGGTCAGGGTTCTGCCAAGGATTTTTTAGTGCCGGGCGCATCCAGTGTCGCAAGATGCAAGCGCCGTAGGCGCGAAGCCAATCTAGGGGGGTCCCGGGGCATGCCCCACCGCAAATTTTTTTATTTTGGATAGTCTGAAACTCAATTTCCTGCATTCTGAGCATGAAAAAGCCCATATATCAGACTGACAAACAGGGGTTTTAGAGGACAAAGTGCAATATCTGAGATTATCATTTATCAACAGCTTGGATATACATAGAAAAGAGAAAACAGTACAATTTGTGTAGGCAAATATTTGCTACTATTAAACATGATAGCCAGGCTAATGCCAGTCACAGTTCCTGTCAGACTGACTGCTTCAGTTCCAAACAAATGGACACAAACTACAGTGTATTTAGTCTACGATTCTTTGCCTTTTTTTCTTTTTCTTTTTTTTAAATTAGTGCCGGGCGGAGATAACCGACTCGTTTATAGTGCCAGGCAGCAACCGCGAGTGCCGGGCACACCCGCCCACCGCCGCCCACCGTGGGCAGAACCCTGGGTGGTTATCCAGAGTTGTGTAGATGGGGCATCATGGTTTGGCTTGGTGCAGCTGGTTGAATCATCCTCACCTTAGCTGGCACACTGGCCTCTCAAGTTCCCTAGTGTCAACACAGAAGACCCGACCATCCTTCAAGCCAGAGTATAGCAGGTTCCCATTCTGAAGACAAGAAACTAACATTTACGAAGTTCATACGATTTCTGATTATTCTAACACCGGGTAGCTTTTTTTTAAACTTATTTTCCTTTTCTCATACTTATCTAATATGGTTTTCAGGCATCACACACAGCAATCCTAATACGAGACCAAATATTAGCCTTCCACTCGGTTTAATTCATATCCAATACTCTCTCCACCTGTACACGACTAGAACATATACCTCGTTAAACAACTGTGAGTGTACGGAACGTCCTCTCAACGCTTGTATGCCCTGCTTAGCATTGCTCGTCACATCATACAGTATCACGGGCAGCTTCATCACCGCCTCCCACGCACGCCGACGAGCCGAGCTTTGTGCTGTATGCGTGGACGTGCGACAAGGCGAGGGGCACCACGCTCACACTGAGAGACTTTGCGCTGAATAGCGTCCCCGAGTGGCGCGCGTCCGTTACGAAGATGAGGCATCTGCAGTCGCTGGTGGGAGTGTGGAAGGATCGACAGCCCCTGGTGTCGGCCGCTCGCCCAGCCGCAGGAACTGCAGCCTGCTCAGCATCATGCCGCTCAGCCAGGCGGCGACCTCGCGGCCGCGCATGCCGCCGGTCGGCCGCAGCCAGCGGTCGGGCGACAGGTCGTAGTGCGAGAACCACAGTGGCCGGTTGTAGGCTACCGCGAGCCGCTTGCTTGCCGCGCTGCACGCGATGTCGTGGATCTCCGTGTGGCCCTGAAACGCGTCGACGGCGGCCGTCGCGAGGGATGCCTGCACGTAGGTGGATGGGTTCAGCATGGCTAAGTGGGAGGCGCGAGTCAGCGACCTGTACACGTCGCATCTGTAGGCGCCGAGCTGGTTATTGCTGGTTAGGGTCACCACGTTGCAGCCCTTCGCCAAGGCTCTTGTTCTGCGCACGCCCGCAATGCCACGGAGGCCGGCCTCGCGTGCCATCCCACCCCGGGGTCTCCATTCGCTCACGGCCTCCTGTCGCTTCTTCTCCCGCTGTTTCTCTAACACCCGCTGAGACGTGAAAGGATTTACGTTGTTGTGCCCTGGTAGCATGCGGTAGTATCGTTTCTTTTCTGGGTCATAGTAAAATCCAGGTATGTCTGCAACCAAATTGCAAATTATCACACACAGTCACGAATACCAGTACTACGATTACTATTGTTGCACAGCATGAATATAAACCAGTCTAGTTACTGCTACAATAAGTTTTACATGTAGAAAACAGATAAGATTATGTAACGCAGCAGAGTGCTCTAACTTGGTATGCTCTAGTGGTGGAGTATGCTACCCAGGGCCATAAGTAGTAGGCAGGGGGTGAAGGGTGGGCAATTTGACTCCCCCTCCAGACCTTATTAATTGGCAGTGCCAATGGAGAACTGCCCATGGTCAACTTTCCAAAACGCAAACCGTGGCATGGTTCCCCCAGGCAAAATCAGTAAGTGGTTTCGTATCTAGTAGGTCTACACCACACTTTTATCATTGGTGTAAATAAGTTTGGTTTACATCGGCAATTGCGCAACGAGTTACAATGCTGAATCTGGATGTGGACATTTACTAACACGTGCTCCCACTCTCTCAACTAAATAGCTGTGTGATTAGCATACCGTATCTATAGCTCTAGTACTATAGCCCGCCTACATTAACTGCCGCTGGCATCCACACGCATTAACCCGCTGGCCAGCGGCAGTTAATGTAAGCGGGCTATAGTACTAGAGCTATGGCGTATCCAGAACGTGATGACCAGGAGTGCGAAATGTGCTTGGACTGCCGCAGGCAGGCCTGCATGCTGTAGGCACGCCAGTGCTAGGGGGGTCTGGGGGCATGCTCCTCCAAAAAATTGTGAAATATTTAAGCCATTTTCCTGCAATCTGAGGCATACTGTGGGCCATATTCTGATGTCTGATGACACTATCTCAACCCTAGACTTAACCATACAATTTAGGATTTAAACCACTTTTCATGACTTTCCAGAGAGCGTACACACCTGAGGTTAGGTTACTATAGTAATAATACATGTATTAAAACACAGGTAAGAATTGCAACACAAGATAACTTAATAAGTCCTTTAACATGTTTAATGGCACTAAAAAGGAAACACACTTGATCATGTTGATGATCAGCTCCGATTGGTACACAGGTCAGGGTGAGAACTCAGTGTGACAATTAGCCCTACTAATAATTGCCACTGAGATGTTCAGGCCTGTGTTCAAGATTGTGTGTTCGGGTCCTTAAGCGTCCCCCATGGGGTTTGCCATTAGCAACCTTCGAGGCTTCCTTCTGATGAAGATGTTGACCACCTTAAATCCATTTGCAAAGGGAGGTCCTTGTGGAGCAACAGAATTTTTTTCTGGGCCTGCAAACGGGGGGGAGGGGGCATACGCCGGCTCCGCCTATGCTGGATACACCACTAGCTAGGACGTTGAGATTTCATTCAGTAGTCAGTCCTAGCTTTCAAGAGCATTAGACAAAGCTAATTCCTCTTTGCTGGGACTAAAGGCAGTAATTTTGTCACTTCATGTTCCCACATGTTCGTAGGCCAGGTTTTTTCACCTTACAAACCATGGCCGAGGTTAGATAACTCACAGTAGTTATCTCTTAAAGTAGTCAGGACTAACCCTAACCTTTAGGGTGAATGCTGAACATGCTAAGCACTGGAACACCATGGGCCACAGAATCACGTACATCAGGAAACAACTATATATATAGACTATTATTACTGCATTATCTGTCATTAGTACTACTATTACTAGTATTAGTACTACTACTTCTACTTCTACTGCTACTGCTTCTGCTGCTGCTGTTGCTGCTGCTGCTGCTACTGCTACTGCTGCTTCTGCTGCTGCTGCTGCTGCTGCTGCTGCTGCTGCTGCTGCTACTGCTACTACTACTACTACTACTACTACTACAGTAGTGTACTCAATATCGTGCCATAGTTGGTCCAACAACATTCAGCCAACCACTTATCAACCATGACCATGCCAGCAAAATGCCAATGTTGGCCCATTGGCTGCATGCTATCTGGATAGTATAGCCGTATAGGTGTGTGGCTCTACTGGTGTAGCCTCTTCGCTCCTGCTTA